CTGTAGGCCCCCTTTAAGTACTGGAAGCTGCTATAAGATCACCCTGGAGCCTTCTCTTCTCCAGGCTGAACAGCCCCAACTCTCTCAGCCTGTCTCCGTAGCAGAGGTGCTCCAGCCCTCGCATTATCTTCGTGGCCCTCCTCTGGACTCATTCCAACAGCTCCATGTCCTTCTTGTGTTGGGGACTCCAGAGCTGAACACAGTATTCCAGGTGGGGTCTCAGGAGAGCAGAGTAGAGGGGCAGAATCCCCTCCCTCAACCTGCTGGCCACGCTCCTTTTGATACAGCCCAGGATACGGTTGGCTTTCTGGACTGCCAGTGCACATTGCTGGCTCATGTTGAGCTTCTCATCCACATCAAACCACTTTTCAGTAATTTAGACAACCAGTGAAGAGACTCTCTTCCCAGAAGCCTGAGGCATCTCTTCCACGCCACTTACCTGTACGATGAAGAGTAATTGGCTTTTCTTTTTGTAGGATGGATACTCACAGCTGTCAGCTTACGAAAGGAAAAGGCTGAAGAACATCACAGAAAACGCGAAATTCTTTGCTGCTTTAAAGCTGCACGAGGTTTGTGTAGATTCTAAGTCGCATCAAAACGTGCTGTCCCCAAGCGTAGTGATGGTTGTCCTGTCGTCCGTCTCGTTGTGAAGCCCTTCCCTAGCAGTGGCGGGTGCGAGGAAAGCCACGAAAACATCCTGAGGCATCAGGACTGCCCTGACTGGATAAGAAAATTGGGGTTTTGTGCTGCTGGTTAGCTTTTTCCAAAGAGGGGGAGTCATTGGTTAAACTTCAAAAAAAGCCAAGAAAGCAAAACTCCGCTGGCGCGGTGTTCCACACCAGCAGCACCCGAGCATGGCAGTGCCCGTGGTGCCAGAGCTGCGGACCTGGCAGCACCAGATGCGGTGGCCTGGGGGTACAATGCTCTCGTGAAGGTGCTGGGGTCCATCTTCTGGCGACGTGGCAGGCGTCGAGCTCTGGGGTGCTGGACGCGGCGCAGGCAGGTTCGCTGGTTACCGGACGGACGGGCCGCGGGGCCCGCGAGGCACCGGAGGGAGGTGTCGGGCTGTGGGGGGCTCAGCTCACTGCCCTGTGCTGGAGAGGCTCTCGGGAAGAGCCTGTGGGGCACGTGCTGCTGGAGTCCTTCCCCGTGTCCTGTCCAGTTGGGGTGGACACTGGCGCGTCATAATTCTTCTCGTGTTGGAGAAATTGTCTATGAGGTTAAGCCAGTGGAATTTCAAATGCTATCACATGAAGGGATCCAAATCTTTGCCCTTCTTTCCACACTCCTTTCTCTTAAATCATTATTATTTTTTTTTAATTCATAACACGTGCCTTTTCTGGCAGCAGTGAGTGAATTACCTCCTTGAATGGCTGTGTGCTCGCTCGCTCATCATGCCAGGCTGCAGGACGTGGTGGGACCTGCCTAGGAGGCAGTAAGACTGCTCACCACCTGGACCTACACTCGAGTAAAATTAACTCCTTTTCTTCCAGCAACCCTCAGAGAGGTCAGAACAAGCTAGGCAGTCTGGCTGTAATCACAGCACTGACCACAGAGTGGCAAAGACTAATAAAGGAGCCACAGCCATTGCAGTTACTGTTGGCACGGGCTGGTACGGGCTGCCCGAGCCACGCAGCAGGTCAGGCTTCTCATGCCAGGGGTGATGCTGCTTCGGGTGGAGTGGCAGTTGGGCAGTAGATGGTCGTAGTGGTGAGCTGGACACGCCTGAACTTCTGGAGTCCAGATGAACTAAATGCTTGTCTTCAAAATGTGATGGAGAAGACTCTGCACAGGGAGGCTACGGGTCCTGCTGTAAATGTCTTTCTGCGTCTGGTGTGTAGCATTTAGAATGTTGCCTTTGTTCTGGAAAGAGAAGGGCTGCAGAACATCCAGATGCTGTGCTCCTGCGCGCCCTTCACAGAAATCAGGGAATTCTTGCTGGTGCGTGGAAGCAAAGTGGACACAACACAGCTTGATACTTAAAACCCCCTTTTTTTTCTTGTTATAAATAATTACAGGATAGTTTATTGCAGCCTTTGGATAATTGTATTTTATGCTTATTATATATATTTTTAATCTTTTGTTTTTCTCTTTAAGTCAGCTGCAAGACTTAACCAAATTGCGACTAAGAGACAATCTCACGTCACAAAAAGGTAAAATAACTGTATATGAGATTTGTATTGTGGCTCCTTCGTGGTATTTAGGTGTGTTAGCACTTGACTGCGCGTGCCTGATACTGTGAAGAGGGAGAGGTAGTGAGGAGTCTCGCTGTAAAGCTCAATCTGAATAACTGACGATCTTAAGCTGTATGAATTCATGAGCAGGTAGCTCCTCTAGGTACTGCCTCTCCTCGGCCATCCTTTCGAAAGAAAATGACAGTATTCCTATCTTTTTCATCAAATTACAGAATTTGTTCTTTTTGTGATATTTGTATTAAGGTATTTCAAGCCCATTTCTTTTTTCTGATGATATTTTTGCATGATGGCTAAGGAAAGAAATGTTAAATGATGAAAACAAACGATGCGAAAAAGTGTGGGAAAGAGACAGGGGGGAGAGCTATGTGCAAGGGATAGGGCAACCAGTTAGTGTAGAAGAAAAGACATTTGGCAGTGCCAGAACAGTGCCAGGCACAGCAGAAACGTGAGCCTGAATCCAAATAAGGAATAAGATACATGATGGAAGAAAGTGGAAAAAGATGACTAGCTCAACGAGCGGAAGGATGAGTTGGAAGTGAGGAGGGCTGGGAAGAGAAGCACCAGTGGCAGGATGTGTCACAATATGCATTGTGAAGGGCTCGGTTTGTTGGTCATTGAAGGAAAAAATAATGATGACAACACTCCTGAAGTGAATCAGAACTAGTGAGGCCGCAAGTCTGCGCCAAGGTGTTGGAGCTGTAGGGCTGAGCCTACCCTAGCCTTGTGCTTAAGTGCGGGGGACTCACGTTCTTTATCTGTGTCTGTAATTCCAAAATGTTTTAATTGTGCTAGAGCTAAGCCGAAGAAGGCAGAAGAAGAAACAGTTCGGCGACGATCTATGCGCTTGCAAAGAGTAGAGCCGTCGCAAATTCCGCCGCCGGAGATGCCTGCCCCGCCGGGAGCAGAGGAACAGGTAAGATGGGGAGGGGTTGGAGGAGATAATACGTGTCATGGCTGAGCTTGTTGTACAAACCTTCGGACGTTTGGGAAGGTGCATTACACAGTGGCAGTACTGAAGGGTAAACTCCTTCACCCTGGAGCATCTTGATCCCGTGTCCTCCCCGAAAGTTAGTCAGTGTTCTGTGCCTCACGTCGATCAAACAGTGCTGGTTTGGATCATCAGGAGGGTCCTGAGGTAAAACTTGGTGCATTTTTCATCAGCCCCCAGATTTGAGCAGCTTTAAATTCAAAGTTTCATCACTCTGTTTTATTTCACTGTAACTTTTGATCTAGTTTATTTTCCTTTGAAATATTTGCTGCCTTTTTGAAGTAGTTATACAGCAACAAGTGAAAATTTTATTGCTCCGAGAGATGGGAATTTAAATCTTCCATGGTGCTGTAGAATACAGCTAAACCTCTGTAATCCCGTTCTTGAAGATCCACCTTGCTGGAGTATCAGCAAGGAGAGGAAGAACCGTGGAAAAACCACGCTGTTGTGTTCAGTAAAGTTCTATTTATCATTTAATAAGATTGGATGCAAACTCCTTTGTTGTTGTTATGTTTACTTCTTGTATTATCATAGGTGTGTTCTCAGAATATCTGGTGTGTGGAGAGCAACAATTCTCCCTGTTTTTAGTTTTAGTTGATTTTAGTTTATGTTATGTTATTTTGTTATGAAAATTGCTGATGTCATTCCAGCCTGGAGTTCCAGCCGGACCTTTGCCAATGGTTCCAGAAGATCAGATGGAGAACACTGAATTGACAGAGGGCTTATTGACCACATGGATGAGGATAAGTGAGGTATTATTAGTTACAATTAGTTATTTGGGGACAACATAATTTAGCTTGGGTTCTAAGTGATCTGATTCTGATAAACGTTTCCTTTCTATCTGCAGATGAAAGAGAACGATACCGAAAAGTGCAGGTGTGACATGAAAAGGTAATCTGAAGACAGCAGCTCAGAACTGGGTGTTCTCTCGTTCTCTTTCTTTCTTCTCTCGAACAGCTGACATTTTCCTGATGTTGTCTAGGTACCAGGACAGCCTGAGCAGCATGGTCCTCAGTGAAGAGAACGTTAGAAAGGTGGTGAAATACCGCGTGTGTTCTATGGCCATCCATCCTTCTGAAAGCATCATCTTTGTGGCAGCTGGAGACAAGTCCGGGCAGATTGGTCTGTGGAATGTGGTGAGTTGTCCGGATGCTCTTCACCGGGCACAGCTGTTTGCTGCAGGATGGGTGCAGATGGGGCACAGCCTTTTGTCAGGCTCACCACAGTATTTTGTGCTTTCCCCGTTCTGACGGATAGCACCAGGGTGTCTGTTAAGTTGAGGCTCACCAGAATTGCTTGAAAGGTCTGTCTGGTCCTTGGCAAGCCCAGGTTGAATGGGAGGAAAGGTGGTTGCACTGGCAATTTTTGAGAGGCAGAGCGGAAGAAAATGGATCACTAGGTAAAATAATCTTACCAGTGAGGGTTAAAATTGCAATTCACTGTTGAGAGATTCAGGATCTTGTTACAGGACCACAACGAGGTTTTGGAGTGAGGGGTAATGGATGCTCAAGTACTTGTTTTTTTGAGGTACAAATTTTGGGTGGCTGCAGTGAGTCACTGGTTTTCCACACGGCAGAGAGGAAATTGCTATGCCAGTATACACGCTGGCACAGACTTAGGTTGTCTCTGAAAAATAGCTCAGCATTTGATGCTTTGAAAACATTTGAGGACTTTGCACATAGTCTCGCCGTCGTTTTTGAGTTGCCTTAATTACTCCTGCAGCAAGAATCTTACTCATGCCCTTGACTTACACCTTGGTAACCTCCTCCTGCACCCTGCGCGTTGATCCCACAGCATCCCCTCCAGCTGCCTGGAGTTCACACGTGCAGGTTTTCTTCTCACTTTTTGCAAACCTCTCGAGTTTCTCTCATTTCTGCTTTGGCAGCTTCAGGAAACTGATGGACTGAATTCAGCTCTGCGACTCCTAACTCAGTTACAAAGTTGTTTGAGTGACTCCGTGCAGTTTAGAAAGCTCTGACCGTGCAGCTGCAGTAACTGCCTGCCAGAGTGGGGCAGGTCCGAGGTCTCCGAGTGCTGCTGACTCTGCTCGTGGCCTGGCAAAGACATTTCAGTGGAAGCCTAGAATTGTTAAAGCTACTCTTTTCCCTTTTGCTCCTTTTTTTCCTGAGGTGAAACCCAGTTTGGGAGCAGAGTAATCTTAGTGGAATGAACCTGTGCCTGTTCCAAAATGATCTGTTCATTTTCTTTTAAAACAATAGAGCTTGAATGATGCCAAAATTAGAAGAGAAGATACAGGGGATTATGCTTTACCTTCAGTTTGGGTGACTGTAATTGAGCTGGAGTTCCAAGTAACCTGACGTGTGTATGTTTTGATGTAAATGGCATATTCCTGTGTTTGGTCCTCAGCAAGGTGCTCGGCTGTCCTAGCTGAGAAGCCGACCCTGTCAGTAGAGGAAGGTCCAGGTGCAGCACCGATGGCTGCAGCAACAGAAGTGCACTGAAATTACAGCAGGAAATTGCAGCTTTTCCTAAATAGGAACTGGAATTCTGAAACCGAGAGGCAATTCTTAGTGCTCCTGTGAGCTGAATGACTGGTACAGTGGTGAAAATGGTAGTGGGTGGGAGGCTGTAGCCTGGCAGTGCCGTGTTAGTGCCCATGGGAAGGTGGTTCTCTCTCCCAGGAGGAGGTCAGCCCGGGCAGGCTGTGCCCCGGGGCGGTCGTGCCGCCTGCCTTACCTGTGCTGATGCCCCCACGCGTCAGGCACCCCGCTGCCTCTGCGCGTGGCTATCCAGAGCTGGCTGACAACACTGGAAAACAGGCTTTGCTTGGAAAGTTGCAGTAATTAATAGAATGATAGAATCATAGAATGGTTTGGGTTGGAAGGGACCTCAAAGATCATCTAGTTCCAACCCCCTTGCCATGGGCAGGGAAACCCTCCACTACAGTGGTTAGCATCTGTAAAAAATACCATCTCAATTGTTTTTCAGAACTGTGGGTCTGAAGAAGGAGCATGTGTCTTTATTCCACACAGTGACCCTGTCAACTGCATGCATTTCTCGCCCTTCAATCCCGCCCACTTGGTGTCCCTGAGCAATGGCACGCTGCGCTGTGGCGATGTGACCAGAGCTGTCTTTGACGAGGTGAGTGCTCCCGCGCTGCGCTGCAGGCTCCTGGGAAACCTGGGTGTGTGCTGCGCTGAGGTTTTAGTCTCCTCACACCCAGGTTGCTGATTGTTCCGTTAACGAGAACGTTTAAGATTCCATTTCCACAAGGACGCATGAAGTCACCTTTAATCAACATCATAAAAATGCGGAGATGCTTCCTAGTCAATAAAACATAGTAACTGCTTGGCTACTCCCAGCTTCATAGATTCATAGATTTCTATGTTGGAAAAGACCTTAGAGATCATCGAGTCCAACCATCCCTAATCCCCATTAAACCAAATACTTCCTAACATCCAACCTGAACCCCCCCTGACTAAGCTTATACCCATTTCCTCTTGTCCTATCGCCTATCACTAATGTAAAGAGCCCTTCCCCCACCTCCCCACCATCCCTTCTCAAGTATTTGTAGGCTGTAATCAGGTCTCCCCTCAGCCTCCTCTTCTCCAGGCTAACTGCAGAAGCAGTAGCAATTGTTGAATTTGATTTAACCTCTCCGTGCTTAAGCAATATGTGCCTCTTTGCAACAGCAGTACCTTTGAATGATGACAAGAGCCATTTAAAGAACTAAATCTTAACACCCCCCTCCAAGTAAACACCGTAGAACAACACAAAGCATGAGCTGGCTTTGCTTTTCCCAGGCTTCAGGGGGGCACAGCGCTGGGACTCTCTCCGCGGTGAGCCAGGCGGCTCAGCAGAGGAGCTCCGTGATGCTTGCTTGCTTTGCTTATTTTTGGACAGATACCTCTGCATTGAGCAGTTCTCCACCAGTGGAAAACGTAACAAGCTACACCAGTTTAAAGCTTTTTTTTTTATCCCCCAACCCTTACGAGCACTGTGATTTTGGTGGGGTTGCAGGCAGGCTGGCTGCCTGGGACGTGTCTGCAGCTGGTTGGTCAAGAGGCCAGGACGGTCCAAGGGGGCTTGCTCTTTGAGGCAAATGCTTGCAAGAATGTGTCTTTAGAGGCTGGGGGAACAAAAATGCCCTTCTCCTGCTCTCTTTAGCTTTTGCCAACTTACACAGCCTTGTGATCCCTCTAGGAGTATTCCTGCCATTGGAAAAAATACAGTTGCCAATGGGGGAGAGTGTCTGCACACATAGAGGGAGCCGAAACGTGGAAGTTTTCCGGCAGCAGTGTTATTCTCATGGCTAATTGCTGCTTTCAGAGGAAACTTCCATGGGATAAGATGGCTTGACGTCCTGACTCTGATCTCCCAAATCCCAGGAAGCCAAATTCACATTTGTGCACACAATTAGAGGTTTCTGTAGCATTGGAGAAGGGAAAGGAGTCGTTTGCCTCGCTCAGTACGCACCCAGGGATGACAGCTGTTTGGTCACTGGAACACCGAGCCGACAGCACCTTGTCAGAGTTCTGACGGGGAATTTGGAGTGTGTTGTTGCCACTTTGTTGTGGGTGGTTCATTTTCTCCTCTGTGGGAAGCCACAGTTTTACAGAAGGGTCACCTAAATGGGCAGCTAAGGCTGGAGCTGTCACACTGGGTAGTCCCATTAGTATTTTTAGTCTGTTAAAATGAGAAAGCAGGAAATCTGCAGCCCACGGAGTGTTTGGGATATTGTGACTAACTGTATTTCATGGAATACTTTCAGTTACATTTGACCTTTTCTGTGCTTAGATATGCAGAAGTGAAGAAAGCTTCTCGTCCTTCGACTTCTTGGAAGATAATGCCTCCACTGCGATAGTAGGACACTGGGATGGCGACGTCACCGTGGTGGACAGACGGACCCCAGGAACGTCTCCAGAGCTTTCCGTAGACATCGGCTTCAAAAGGACGAGGACAGTCCATGTTCACCCCGTGAATAAACAGTATTTCCTTGCTGCTGGCTTAGTGTACGTGGCTCAAAACGAGCTGCAGTTACTCCGTGTTAGAAAGGTTCTGGCTGCACTGGTGTCTGAAGTCAGCAGTAAATGGTTTGGAGGGCAGGAGCAGCTGTTGATGAGGCAGTTTGTCAGCCTCAGTGTATTGTCAAAGCTTTCTTAAGCTCTTCAAAAACAAGTTTTTAGTTCTTAGCAGGGTTTAACATGCGATAACGCTTTTCAGTTCCCTTCACCTTTTGGTAACGGGTACAAAATGGTCTCAGGAGTGACTGGTTTTTGGCAGATGACTAGAGGGATTTTGCTGAGCTGTTGGTTTGGGGTGGTTTTGGTGCTCACAGAATTCTTGGGAGCCACTGGTGATTGGAGTGCATGTGCAGTGCTGAACTCCAGTTCCAAACACCGCTGACAGCAGGCCTGCAGTGTCTCTGGAGCGGTGTTTGGTGAAGGGAACGTAGGAGTAGTGGCTGCTTACCTGGCACCTGGTGACGTGTCCTGTGGTGTGTGTTGCAGGGATGTTTGTGTTTACGATGTTCGGTACCTCAAGTCTAATGGGAACAAGCCCGTGAGCTCTCTCAAAGGACACACAAAAAGTGTTGCTTCTGCCTATTTCTCGCCCGTAACTGGGAGCAGAGTGGTGACGGTGTGTGCCGATGATAAGCTGAGGTAAGGTGGTGTGGGGAGGCGTAATCAAATGTCAACTGGTTTTTGATGATGATGATGATGATTATTATTATTATTATTATTATTTCCTGTCTGCATTACCCATCACTGAGAGCTTCCTGTCTTTACCACTTATTTTAAAAGTGATAAAGATGTACTTGCATTGGCGTTTTTAATGTTGCATGATTTTTTTGCAAGTGTTTTTCTAAGTCTCATTTTCCTGAGGAATGTTTAACAGTGAACAGTAAAATATACAGGTACTATTAGTCTTTAAAAAAAACCCAACAAACAAACCCAACCCAACCAACGAAAAACCAGCCAAAAACCTGGTACGTGAATACGAATACAAAATGCTTAGAAACGGAATTTCTTTTTAGCTTCTGGTGCTTAGCAGTACGATAATGTCAGCTCTCTTGTCACCAGTCCACCATTTGGTAATGAAACTGCTGTGAGCTGTGTTGGGTTGGAGATGTAGTTTTTCTCCCTACGTTGTAGATTTGAGACCATGATGTAGGTAATCTCTTCACGTAGATATCTGTTACACCTGCACACTCGCCACGCGCCTGTTGCACGTCCTGACTGGTGTCAGGGAACAGCGGGGGGCCCAGTTAAGGCCAGGCTGAAACTCTACAGATTGCATCTGGTTTTTAAAGGTGGGGTAACTGCATGTAGCCTGGAAAGAATGTCAGTATAGTGCAGTTGTTACTGCATTACAGGTTTTGTCTGGAAATTTGATTTTCTTTCTTCCCCTTCCACGTACACAGGAAATCCTGAGTTCTTTTACGTGAGTTCTGGGTGCTGTAATTCTTTCTTTCCTGTGATGTATTTACTATGGATAATGGCAGGTTTGTTCTCCATAGCAGGCTTGGTTATGAAATTTGTAAATCCTTGGCACTACCAGAGCAAGTGTCAGAGTACAAAATACCAGAATATTTGTGCTCAACAGATGCAGGATCATTTGTTCACTGCCTCCTCCAAGGAAAAAAGAAAGCAGCTTTTAACCCAGCAGCTTGTCGAACTTTTTGCCTAGGGGGGTTGGGATCCGAAGAGTTTATTGGGCTGAAGGGGAGCCCAGAACGGGAGGTCTGTTGGTGGTTTCTCTGTCAGTCGAGCCCACAGCTGCCTGAGGACGTGCTGGCACGCAGAGCTGTGGGTGGTGGGACAGCACCCTGGTGTGTGTTGCCCTTCTCTCGCGTCCTTCCCCGGGCAGCCCGTCGGTGCAGTGACGGAACGGACAGGGTGCCAGGCTGGGAGCTGGCGTTTGTCCAGCGAGCCATCCTTGTCCTCCTCCTGTATCAGCTTGCAGAAAGAACGACCTTCAATTCCAGCTAAAAAAATCCAATTAAAAAAGCAAACTTGCTAATTGCAGCTGGAACGTTGGTGTTTATGTTCGAGCTGGATGTCCGCGTGCTGTTCCTTACCACATTCCCCACTCTCCTTTAGGAGGAAAGGGCTGCCTTTTGTAACACACGTCACTGTTCTGTGTTCCAGGGTCTACGACACCTCCTCCCTGTCGCCGACAGTCGCGGCGCTCAGCACCATCAGGTAAGCTGGGCGCACCGGGGCCGGGGACAGCCGCTGCGGCGTAAGCGATGGGTGCGCAGGGGCTGCGGGGTGCTGTGCTCCCAGACAGCCCCCGCGTCCGCGGCGCCTGCGGTGGCGTTGGGTCGTACAGCACGAGTTCCTGAGCACCTGGAACTTTGGAAGCGTGCTGTGTTCCAGAATGCTTTTTCTTTGTGCTAAATAGCAAAGGCAGCTTCTTCACGGGACAGCGCGTGGTTTTGGGTAGAGTCTGGTAAAGCTCCTTGTGCTCCAGCGGGGCGAATCGTTGTCGGGTTGGATTGCACAGGAGCCGGGGCCGGATCGGTGGCTGGCTGGAAAATTCTTCCTTTGCAGTTTATCGAAAGGCTGGGTGCGTTGCGTCCTACTCTTACTAAAATGCACAACCATGAAGCGTAACTGCTTTGATGAATAATCGCTTTTGTCAAAGCACTCTCTGCTTTATCTTCTTGCTCCGTGGCGTTTCTTTGTCCCAGCCCACCCATTACGGGACAGCGATCCACTGGAGGGATCTGAGCAGCGCGAGCTGCCCGGTGTGTGGAAGTGCTGGTGGTTTAGAAGGCGAGGAAGACGGGGTTAAGCAAATACGGCATAAATGGTGATACTTCAAAATACTGGATTCAGTAAGGGGAATGTTTTATCTCTCTCTTTTTTTTCCCTGTTTGTTTTCCCAAAGACACAACAATAACACAGGCCGCTGGTTAACCAGGTTCAGAGCAATATGGGACCCTAAACGGGAAGACTGCTTCGTGGTGGGCAGCATGGAACGACCCAGACAAATAGAAGTCTTCCAAGATACCGGAAAATTGTTGCACTCTTTTTGTAACATTGACTGCCTGGCCTCCGTGTGTTCCATTAACGTGGTCCATCCCACTAAGAACATCTTAGTGGGTGGCAACTCCAGTGGCCGCCTTCATGTGTTCAAAGAATAAAACACATGGCTCAGATTTTGTTCTTTTTTTTCCCTTTTCGCTTTAGATTTGTTTCATCTGTATTAAGCTGTTCCGAAGCTAACTGTATTTTCTCAGGACAAAAGTTTTATTTTAAAAGCTTTAAAATAAATCTTCTAAACCACCTTTGCCGTTCTTTTCTTTAATTAAAATAAAATATTAATCCTGCTCTGACAGCCGGTTTGTACCAAAAGACCTCTTTTTCCCCAATACTGAAGTCATTTTCCAGAAAAGGGGAAAACGCTGGATCAGTGGGACACTTGCTGCCTGTGTGAGGCCCCTGGAAATGATTTTCTCTGGAGAAGCTGGAGCACTCGTTCCTGGCTGGCTTCTGTGGCTTGTCTCTGGAGGTGAGCAGGTGTCGGTGATCCATGTCTCCAGCAGAATTTGTCCCTGAAGTCAGATGTCTGATGTCTAATTCAAGCCTTCCCGGAGGCAGATGGGAGGCCTCTGTGTAGGCTGATGCCACGGGGCCTGGTTTCTAGGGAAGCTCCATGGCTGGGAGCTGCTGGAGCTGTTACGGTGCAGGCGGAGCGGTGCGCAGGCGCTGGACGAGGGTGCTGTGGGGCCGTGGTCCTGTGCCACGTGCCAGGGTGGCCAGCCTCAGCTCCCCGTCC